TATATATATATATATATATATATATATATATATATATATATGTAGTCTCTGTCCCCATTTCGTGGTACACAGCTCCTAAAACCCTTGGAATCCCAGGAGTGGTGTGTCTTTTTGTATGTTAATGAGATGACCGGTGGCTGAGAGTATCTGGGTAACATCGGGGTGAGGGTTACTTGTTAGGGGACTCAGTCTTGTGATTAGAGGGTTGGAATTATCAAGTCCAACCCTCTGATCTCCAGGGAGGGGAAAGAGACTGAGGGTTGAGTTAATCATCAAAAGCCAATGATTTAATCAATTGTGCCTCTATCATGAAGCCTGAATAAAAGTCCCTAAAGTCTGGGGTTCAGAGAGCTTCTAGATGGGTGAATGCATGGAGATGTTGGGAGGGTGACCTTCCTGGAGAGGTCATGGAAGCTTGGCTCTCCTTCCCCCATACCACCATCGGGCTGTTCCTGAGTTGTAATCAGTGTATAATAAATTGATAACCTAGTAAGTAAACTGGCTTCCTGAGTTCTGTGAGCCTGTTCCAGCAAGTTATTTAACCCGAGGAGGGGCTCATGGGAATCTCCAATTTGTAGCCAATCAGTCAGAAGCAGAGGTAACATCTTAGATTCACCATTGGTATCTGAAGCATGTGAGGGGGTGGGAGTGGAGGGGTACCATCTTGTGGGACTGAGCCCTTAACCTGTGAAGTAAATGCCAACCCCAAGGAGATACTGTCAGAATTGAACTGGGTTATAGGACACCAAGTTGATGTCTGCGGAGAACTGGAGAATTGCTTGGTGTGGGGAAAACATCCACACAGCACCTGTCAGAAGTACTGAAAGTGTGGAGAGGAGAATCAGAATTCTTTTTCCTTTTCAAGTCCCTAAAACAACTACTAGGAAAATAATCAACAATATGTATAGTAAAAAAAAAAAAAAAAAAATCAACAGAGGAATAAAAAGTTACACTAATACGTAAAAAGAACCTAAGCTTCTACCTTAAGAAATGAGAAGAGCCAAATAAAATCTAAGCAGTCAGAAGGAAGAATATAAAACACCAGAGCAAAAATCAAAACAAAAAATCAAAATAGAAATAGAAAAACAATAGATAAAATCAAGGAAGCTAAAAGCTAGCTCTCTGAAGACACAAATTATCAAAATCAGGAAGGAAAAAGGGCCATCATTGTTGACCCTATAGAAATTAAAAGGATTGTAAGAACATATTATGAACTTTAGCCAAACAAAATAGGCAACTTACATGAAACAGGCAAATGTCTAGGAGGATGCAATTTTTAGAAAGATACATTCCTCAAGACAAACTAAATGCCAAGAGAGATACATAATCAACTCAAGAAAAAAAAAAAAAAGAAAATCTGAATAGGCTTATAATAAGAAATTGGAGTGGTAAATACAAATTTTGCCACAGGGAGAAGCGAAGGTCCATGTGGCTTTGCTGATAAATCTGATTGAATATTTAAAGAAGAAATAATGCCAGTATTTTCCATGCACTTCCAGAAAATACAGGGGGAAACACTTGCTAACTCATTCTTTGAGACAAGTGTTGCCCTGACATGTGAAAAGAAGACTGCAAATATCCCTCATGGACATGAGTATAAAACTTCAGCAAAATATTAACAAACCAAATTCAACAACATATAAAAAAGATTCTGTACCATTAAGAAAGGGTATTTATTTAATATCTGAAAATCAACTAATGCGATACACTATCTTAATAGAATAAAAGTCAAAATCCTACACGATCACCTCAGTAGACACGAAAGCATTTGGAAACAAATCCAACACCCATTCTTCATTTAAAAAAAAAAAAAAACTTGGCATACAAAGGAACTTTCTCAACTTGATTAAAGTCATCTACAAAAATCCTCAAGGAAACATCATACTTAATGACAGAATACTCTTCCTCCTGATTAGAAACAAGAGAAGGATGCCCACTCTTACAACGTGTCTTCCACATTGTATTGGAGATTCCAGCCAGTGCAGTAATGGAAAAAAATTAAAGGCCTCCAGAAAAGAAATCCAAAAAGGAATAAGTAAGCTTGCTTTTATTCACAGATGATATGATACTGTATGTAGAAATTTCTAAGGAATCCACATCCCTCGCCCAAGAATCTAGTGGGACTAATAAATGATCTAGCAAAGGTGCAGGACACAAGATCAATATAAAATAGTAGTAGTCCAAGTCCTGCTTCATTGCTACGTGCTTTTCTTGTCCTTGATTTAAGAGACTTTTCTGAGCTCTAGCAAATGATTCCATGACCATCCATTTAAGAAGAAAAGAAGAATTTGGATTTTAGAAATTTGATTTTACATCATTACCACCTGAAAAAATACATATTTCCCCATTCCCACATTTGCAGAGGCTCTGCAGAGTTCAGAACAATTGTTAAAATCATCACTGCTCACAGCTGGTGTATAGCATGATTAGAGGCAGGTGTTGACATTAGACAGACACAGGCTTCTGGAGGATTCCAAGATCTCTTTGGGAGCCTTACCAATCTGTATGTAGGTTTTGGAGGCTGCAGAACATCCCCAAAAGTTTTGCCTATTGGTGCTTTATCCACGACATTAGGAATTAATGAGGCTATCAGTTGTTTGAAAAATGGAGGCTCTGGACCTCTGCTCAGGTTGGCTACTGTATCCTAGAACAGAGAGCATTTGCTTAAGGACCACACAATGTAGAGTCAAAGCCCCTTTCCCCAGGCCCCCACCTCCCAGAAATGCCTTCATTAAAGGAAACGCGTGCACGCACGCACACGCACACACACACACACACACACACAGCCTCTCTCCAAGAGCTAAGAGTTTTAACAAAATGTGGGGGCAACTTTGCTAAAATATGAGTCTAGACGTCCACAATTTAAACTTTTGTCACTAGAGGAAAGTTTGGGTCATAGACAACATTTTTGCTTCCCCGGACCATGCAGTCCAGGGATCAGAGTGTAGACATGATACAACTTTAGATTCTGGAACAGCTCTTTTTCAATTGTGTGACTTTGGATAGGAGCCTAACGCATGGTAAGCCTTTGTACCATGACAGTGTGATTACTCTTGTAATTTTTAAAAAGTGTTGAGCCTCTCTTCCCCAGAGTCAATACCAAGCTTTTTCCCCCCTAGATCCTTCTCTGTGCTAATTAAAAAATATACTTTTTTTAGTCTATGGGCTGCCGAAGTGAGCACAAAAATGTAATATACTTTTAACTTAGAAGTTAAGATCAGCGTATGCCCTGACTGGTTTAAACTATGTTTTCCACAATATTTGTCACCTTTAATGGTGTCATCACAGGGCTAATTTCAAATTTTAAGTGGTCCTTCATAATGGACACTGATCCCCACTTTAGTAATTTAATCTTTTTCAAAGGCCATAACACCTATTTGTTGGCATTCCCCTTTCACAAATGGGAACATAAGCTGGGAGATACTCAGTGTTTTTTTCCGAGATCGCATAGCTCATTTTAGCTACAGAACCATAACACTGGCTGTGACAAAAATTTCTACAAATGAATCACACTTTCCCCCTACGTATCACTATAAAACTTGAAGACTATTTGCCTGGGAGGAACTGTAGATGTACATTCATAATGTAAGTGAAAACAATGGCCATCTCTTGGGATGGGCTATAGGTTGATAATTTTCTGTATAATCTGAATGTTCTATAACTAGTTACAGCTTTTATGATGAAAATTAAAGCAGTTCTACTTCGGGAAAAGAAAAAAGGATCAGACCTAAAAGTGAGAGGAATGCAATGATAAAAACAATCATCGAGCAATTAAAATATATCTTCAGCAGATACGCTGTAGTGAAACTTCATATGGTCAGCCATCAGGTGGAGGCATATGGAATTGCCAATATTCAACTGTTTTGACCCACAGAAGCAGCTGTATCGTTTGCTTCCACTCGATATAACCAAGCTCTTTTTCTGAAAGGGCTTTGTTGTCTGTGCTAAGCGGTAATTGTGTCCCAGCCTTTATTGGGGCTTATATGGTATTATATAAAGATCTGCTGATGATTTTAAGTCTTTTATCCTGCTTATTGGCTCATCTGTTGAGGCCAGAGTCAGCTTCATTAATATCTGCACCTCCAAAGAAAGAGGCCACAAGTGGAGTTCTTCTAAGTCAACTTGTTGAGGTGCACGTATTCTAGATTGATGCAATATGCACGTGTTCCAAAGTTGTACTTCATCACATCTAAGCCTCTAGTGATTATAGCAACTGCTATTATTTTTGAGCCACCAAGAAAGTAAAAACATGCTACTAATTATAACCATAAAATTCCTCTGATTGGAAGATGTATCCCCGTTTCAGAGATGCTACAATATGGGAAATGGGCATCTCAGAAGGAATGACCCGCTCATTGGAGAGACTTAGAGTACGCCTGATGACTGACTTCTCTGAACCACTTTTTTCATCTGAAAAATGGGGAAAAAATGATACCTCCATACTTTCACATGATGATCATGAGGCTAATATGAGATCATATATGTGAACTAACCTGTCACCACCAAAAGATGTTAACTGCATCTGAATTTACTAACGGTTTTATTTCTTAGAGATACTTCATAGCTACAAACTTTTCAAATATAAAGGTTTTGAAAGAAACCGGACATTTGAAGCTAACGTTTTCTTTTGCTTCTCTCTGCATCTCCCCACCCCTGAGACACACATGCCTATGAGTTTTGATTACCGTAGCAATGGCCTTCGCAAGACCTCTGAAGAGCTGGATGTAAGCAGACAGAGTGTGTGGTCCATAAATTGTAGATGCCGCCTCGTACCGCTGAGCCTGCAGGAGGGACAGGGCTGGGTTTTATACCATTCTATAGATCTCCATCCATGTAGAGAGGTGCCACATCTTAGGGGAGGGGTGTGATGTTGAACACCTCACATAATTCAAAATTAATCATAACAAAGGACAGCGGGTATTTTCATTTACCAGCTAAAGTAAATGGATCCCGTTAATTCCTTGCTAAAGGTAGTGGGTTCTCTTGGTTTATGCGATTTGGACTGTCAGTCCATCTAATCTGAGAGAGGGGAATAGCTCCTAAGCTTAAGTCTATCTTAAGTACTTGTGATAGAAATGTTGGCCCTCAAGAAACATAGCAGGTGAAGAAAAAATGAGGGAAAATGAGAGTCTCAGAAACTCCTGGGGAAATTTGGGGGGGGTGGTGATGGTACTGTCTGGTGATGGACACTTAACCATCACACAGCTATAAAACTGAATGAGATACATCTCCTTTAGCTGAACTGCAAGCTTCCTGTTGTTCCACAAGAATCTCAGACTCATCAGATCTAAAGTGGAACTCGTCACTCCAGAGAGACCCGTTCTCCCTGCAAAGTTCTTCATCCCAGGGAATGCCAGCCTTCTGCCATCTTAGACTCCTCCCTCTCCCTCATCCTACACCCTGGAAGTCTCCAAGCTACCATTACTCGGAATCTCTTGAATTCTTTCATTTTCCTCTGTCTCTCCTGATCTTACTATAGCTAAACCCTTGGCTCTCACCCAGATCATAACTACAACTTCCTAATCAGTTCTCTGCCCCCACGCCTGCTCTTCCAATTTATTTTTCTACACTGTCATCCCAGAGACCTTCCTAAATCAAAATTTGATCTGAATACTCCTTCTTTGGAATTCTACTGCCATTTTCCAAAACCTTCCTTATTGAGGTAAAGCTCTGTGGCATAGCACAAAAGATGCTCCATCAACTAAAACCTTATCAACTAGTCCCTGTCTCACTACCCTCAACTAATTATGGCCCTTCAAATGTACTAACTCAGCACCCCGAGACCTTTGCATGGATGGCTTCCTCAATACGGGATACTTCCCTAACTTTTCTTTCCCTAATTAGCCCTAGTCATTCTCAAGAACTCAGACAGAGGTTACATCTTTCACAAAATCTGCCAGTCTCCATTCTCAAGTACCCAATAAAGACTAGTGTGCTTTCTCTTTGTTCTCCTCTTACCTTATGAATCCATTTTACAGCAATGTGATTACCTGCTCTTCTCTGCCTTTCACTAGATCATAAACCCTAGTAGTCTTGAGGGTAGGGGCAGATTTTTACTTATTGTTATGCCCAGATAGTGGCTAGTACAGTATCTGTCTCGACACATGTCTGTTGAATGAATTAGTGAATAAATTAATTAGTATTAATCCTTGCAGGAGCATGTCCCTGAGAGAAGCTGTAGGGGTTCCTAACCTTATTTGTGCCCCGGACTCGTATGGCAGTCTGCTGAGGTCTATGGACCCCTCTCAGAGTAAATGTTTCTAAACGTATAAATACAGGGGCGCCTGGGTGGCTCTAAACGTATAAATACATTGTTGACAAAGAAAACCAGTTAGAGTGAAATATACTTAATCAAACAAAAATAAACCATTTTTGTGATAGGATAATGTCTGTTCTTTATTGAACAACGAGTAATGTTTGTGTTCTTTACTGAATAACAAGTAAGCAGATCTAATAACTACTGTGATTTTTAAAGACTGATGAGAGAGAAGTTATTTCCAAATCTGCAATAACTTTTTTTTTGTTATGTTATGTGAGTCACCATACATTACATCATTAGTTTTTGATGTAGTGTTCCATGATTCATTGTTTGCGCATAACACCCAGTGCTCCACGCAGAACGTGCCCTCTTTAATACCCATCACCAGGCTAACCCATTCCCCCCCCCACCCCCCTCCCCTCTAGAACCCTCAGTTTGTTTCTCAGAGTCCATCGTCTCTCATGGTTCGTCTCCCCCTCTGGTTTACCCCCCTTCATTCTAAATCTGCAATAACTCTTCGTGATATAAAAAGTATCTGTGGTTCCTATTGGTGACAAAGTCAGAGGTACTGCTAATATTATTGTTGTTTGTTACCTACATTCCTAATTGAAGGAAATTCTACAAAACAGTTACAGAGAAATGAAAAAATGGATAAATGAAAAGTATTCCCATCCAAGTTTGCCCCAATTAAGAATCATTATTTGACAGAATTTCCTAGAAGACAGGGACTTTCAGGAAAGTCAACAAAGGACAGCAGGGCAGATCCCACCGTTGGCATCGCTGGACATTTGTCAAAAAGTAGATTGTATGCCTCTCTGTGGACTGCCAAGATATGCCAGCAGATATATCAGCAAACACGAACTGTGGGTATCCAGACTGTTCCCGTGTTTTTAACCATTACTGTTAAAAAGTACTGGAGCTACTGTCTGCACTATTTGCAAACAAAGAAACATTACCTCCCCTAAATTGTCGGAGACTTTGTTTCTTAATTTATGTCACGGATATAATAAAACCCTACTCCAGGGCTTGTTATGAAGATGACTGAAGATAACATTTGCAAAGTGCTGAGCTAGTACATTCAATAAATAGTAGCTATTGGGCGCCTGGGTGGCTCAGTTGGTTAAGCATCTGCCTTCAGCTCAGGTCATGATCCTGGGGTCCTCGGATCAAGTCCCGCATCGGGCTCCCTGCTCTTCAGGGAGTCTGCTTCTCCCTCTGCATCTCTCTCTCTCATGAATAAATACTTTTTTAAAAATCTTCAATAAATAAATAAATAGTAGCTGTCAGTGGGAGTTTTCCCCAGGGTCTACAGAAGCTTCAGGTGCCAGAAGCACCATGGACAGAGTTAGGAAGATTGTATGCCCCTGCCCAGGCTAATGACCAGTATCCTTGACAAAATAATTTATTTCAGAAAAAGTAGTCATCAGTGAGACCAGAATTCTGACTTGAACTTGGAAAGGGCAAACCTAGAACTCCCAAATACAACCTCTGGCTCATTCTCTTTCTCTCCTCTGTCCCAAAACAAAATCATCTCTCAAAACCACCAGTAAGGAAGTCTAGAAAGAAAACCTGCATTTGACACAACAGTCTTGATGAGGGGATAGTTCATTTAAAGGCCGAGAACTTTTTACTTTACCTGGTATTCTTCAAAGGTGGTAATGTAATGTGTATACACATTGCACAGACCCGAAATAACAATGGTCATATTCTGCATCCCATTGGTTGCAAATTCCTAGTGGGGGAAAGGTAGAGCCCAATAAAATTACTCTCCATCATAATGTATAATATTGACCCAGTTATACTTTACAATCATAGATGTGAGTCAATAGTAGAGGGTGTCTCTCCTAACATCATTCGTAACGATCAAAACTGCCTGGGAATGCAGAAGTACGATGTTCATAGTCCTTGAGGAAAAGTTAGAGCCATAACTACACTACAGTTGGGCAAGTCAATGGATCTGTGAACATCTTAGTGATTACATTTGCAGATATAGAATCTTCTTATAACTAAAATACAGATATTTTATCCATTTCCTAAAAAGTATAATGGGAGGATTCTAACTAACCATAGTGGGGTTATTTCCAACTCCAAGTAATAGGGCCTCTGTTGATCATGTCATTCTAGAACCATTTGCAATGCTTCCCGAATATAAATAAATACAGATAAAATACAAAACTCCTAACATGTGTTAGATTTTATTTAGACAGGACTTCATTAAGGTACTTAGGGTCACTTGTTATTTAATCCATAAAAACTATCAATTTTTAAATTATTAATTATTAATATATTATTTTATTATTGTTAAACATTTATTAATAATTATTAAATTATTAATATATAAATAGCAATACATTATTTCAACCTGATCCCTTATAATTTTTAAGCTTGTTCTTATCCCACTAATATTTCATATTCAGCTCTAGACATTACTTTCAAGAACTATAAAACTCTAGTCATCTCAGCAAAGATTAATTTAAAAGGTATCAGATCATAGGAATAGGGAATTCTTTTCTCTTCACCAAATATAAATGCATAAACAGTTTATTTCATTTTTAACTTACTGTTTGAACTGCCTCTCGAAGTCTTCGTCCAGACATGGTCCTGAGTCAAGAAAACAAAAGTATCTAAGGGTTTTCCTACTCAGAATATATGCAAAGAATACAGAAGAACTTGTAGCGAGAGACAAATGTGATCCTGGCTCCTAACACAACATGGTAAGGTTCATGGGGGCTTTGTGGCAATGCAAAGCCAAACTTGAGCTTTTTCTCTCTGTCCTATCTTGAAAATAAATCCTAAACTGAAAACAGACAACTTGTAGGAGGGGAAAAGCCATCAGTGAATATCACTGGCTAAGACTACAATCATTTTCCATTCATCGGAAAATGATTCAGCAGAAATATACTGTGCGTGTTCTATGTCAGTAAGAACTGAGGCAAGTAGAGAGTGCACTACTCCTACCTAGGAAGAATTTATCATTTTGTTCCTTCATCGAATCCTTCAATAAAACACAGCACCTACCACAGAAGAGGCCCACTTCTAAATGCTAGGATTCAACAGGGGGAAGCTTACATTCCAGAGAGGGAAGATGTCAACAAGCAAATAAAAGAAGTGAGATGACAGTAGGTGCTGCGGGGAATATAACGCAGGGTAAGGATGGCAGGTGATGGTGGTTGTTCTTGTGATGATGAGGCCGGTGCTGATGCTGTGGGAATATGGCGGCGGCGGCGGCGGCGGTGATGGTGGTGGTGAGGGCAGCATCATATAGCGTCAGCACAATGGGGCATCTCTGTGAGAGATTGGAGCAGACAACTGAAGGAATAAAAGAGTCGGCTGTGGGGATAAGAGGAGGGTAAGTGTTTTAGGCAGAAGGAACCTTAGGTTCATAAGCTTTAAGACAGGAGCAGGCTTGCTGGTCTGAGAAATGCAATGAAGCCAAGCTGGCTGAATCAGGGGGAGAGGTGTATCAAATCAGATCAGAGAGAGTGCAGAGGGAAAAATCTCACAGGGCCCTGGTAGGATGTTGTAAGGGTTTAAGAATTTACCTGGAGTGAGATGGGAAGCCATTGGAGGGATGTGGACCCTGACTTGATTTAACTTAGCTTTTAAAGGGATTCCTCTGGCTGCAGTGTTGAGAAAAGGCTACAGAGGAGTAAGGGAGAAAGCAAGCAGGTGAGACAGGAGGTTATGGCAGTAATCTAGGGGAGAGCTCGTGGTGGCTTAGACCAGGGAGGGAGTGACAGAAAGTGCTGGGCAGGATGTGCAGAATTTGCTGCAAGACTGAAAGTGGGGGAAATTGAAAAGAGAGAATTCAGGGATGACTCCAAGGCTTAGGGCCTGAACAACTGGAAAGATATAAAATTGCTACTTAGTAAGATGGGGAAGACTGCATAAGGAGCAGATTTCAAACAACCTTTCCTGCTTCTAATACTTCAACTGTTTCAAGGATCTGTATTTTGATACTATTTCAACTCTTTCTACTGACATAATAATGCACAACATCAGTTCCATTTGGAATAAGGTTTTCAAATGTTTATGTTTGCTACAATTTACCCACTAGCCATACACATCGAAAGATTTACCCTTCAGAAGTCCACCAAAAGAGGGTTGGAATATTTGTCAGTGTTGCCAAAATGGCAAAGTGAGATACAAAGGAGTCGTTCAGAATCATCACCCATGAGAAGAAGTGATTCCAACAGAAACACATACACAATGACTACATTTTTAACTACAAAATAACAAAGAAGAACTTACATCAACTCCCCAGGGATGGCAGTTATGGCCAAGGACCCAATCGTGATAATTTGAACATCAATAATATCTGGGTGCCAGGGATGAGGTTTTGTCAACTAAGAACCCAAAACATGAAACCTGTGTTAGGGATATTGTTCTTTCTATGGCCAAGAGACAGATTATGCTCACAAAATTTCCCTTATTAAAGGATTTACAATGTTTTCAGCTGGGTTTGGTGCTTTATCCTGCTATCACAGATTTTCTTTCTAATGAATGAGGTAGTATAAAATATTCTATCTGGTCATAGCAGAAGGATCTCAGACGCCAATGCCCCATTAACCTGCACTTCCTTTCTCATCAGTGAAATTTTTGGTGGACCGGGCATCCTAGCATCCCAATGTGTAACAGGTAACCAAGGGTTCTCTTGGAGCACTTAGTAAGATGGATAAGTAATTCTACATTTGGAACAGCTTAACTTAATGATTTCTCTTTTTACACTCAAAGCACTTTAAATTTGCAGTTACCAAGTCTTGCCTTACTTTCCAAGTTTTCTCCAAGACAATCTATCCTTTCCCATAGTCAGATTCTCTCTATTCCTTCCTTTCCTCTCTTTCTCCTTCCTAAAGAATTTTAATTGAATATTAGGGGGAAAAACTTTATTCAAAAATGTTTTCTACATCAGTAATTTATATTATGAACACTGGCGCAAACTTTTGACATTTAGAATGTGAAAATCCATGGTCCAAAGGAGTATTAAAAGAATATTGCTTTAGTTAATCGTGTTGTCTGAGTCATGAGAAAATTGAGCCGTGAACATGTCCTTTTTACATGACCTGAGGATGCTTTTTTGTTCAGAGAATTGTATGTGCACTCCTGTCCTGGAGTCAACATAAATGAATCCTGAATAAGATAGATGTTGATTGAATTCTTCCTTTTCCACTGTTTCCATTGTTGCAGTTATTTATCATAAATTCTAAGTCACAATATTTAATAATCATATCCCTTATTCCTTAGAGTTAGATTCTTAACATACATATTTTTAATATTAAAAATTTGATGTGGAAATATTTGAATAAGAAATTCCCATGTCAACAAAGATCTATCATTTGTCTCTGACAATTCATAAGTTTTAAAATGACGATACACTAATTTTACCATGGTAGTCAAAATGCATTACCTCTCCAGTATGAAGAAGGATTGGCTTTGGTTTATGACACTGTTTGATTTCTTCAGATGGCTTGCCCAGGATTTGATCCCGAAGACTGTCCCAAAATGGATCCCCTACTGTTGTCCCTGTTTAGTAACATAAGGATTAATTTGACTCCAACCCTCTGAAAAATGCCATCATTTTGACAAATATACAACAATGCCTTTATTGCAAAGATTTTATTAAGGTTGTTGCCCAATAATTCCAAACAGTTTGAATAATAGAAGAGGTAAAATTTCCTTTGCATCCTAAAATAGGAATCATTATTTAATTGGATCCCCATTGTGGCTGACAGACTAAAAGAGTATATCTTGTTCAACATCCTTAAAGTTTTGTTTCTATTGCCCTTCCTCAGCCATGTTGCAAATAAAAATAATACAATATAATTAACTATAGATTTATGAATGAAATCACTTTTTTTCCCATTTTAAAAACTAAAAATGAGAACTCCAACTTGAAGTACTGATTATTTGGCTTGGGGTCCACAGAAAAAGCCTCTCTTAACTCCCCACTTAATTATCTACACAAAATCACACTTAAATACCACAATCTGGGGAAAAGTTATGTTAACTCTGAAACCTATGAACTTAGAATCTATACTCCATTAGGGAAATATAACAATTATAAACATATATGGACCTAACAACAGAGCACCAAAATACATGAGCCAAAACTGACAGAAATGGAGGAGAAAGAGATACTCAACAGTAATAGTTGGAGCATGGATAACCCACTTGCACTAACAGATGGGACAACTAGTCAGATCAACAACAGAAAACGTGAGCAACACGAGAAGCCAAGTGGATGTAACAGGTACCTGCACACACCTCCCTTCATGCAACAAGAACATAACAGACACTCCTCTGCTGGCCATGAAATAAACCCCAATAAACGTTAAAGGGTATAAATCATGCAAAGTATGTTTTCTGGCCACAAAGTAATGCAGTTAGGAATAAATAACAGAAGAAAATTTGGGAAACTCACAAATATGTGGAAATTAAGCAACACAATCATAAATAGATAGTGGTCAAGGAAGAAATTAAAAGGAAATATGAAAATGCTTTCAGATAAATGCAAATGAAGACACGGTATACCAAAACATGGGATGCAGTGAAAGAAGCGCTTAGAGAGAAATTTACAGCTTTAATGACCATATTAAGAAAAAAAAGGTGACATAGCAAGAAGAGAAAGTAGAAAATATCAGCTTTTGTCACCCCACAGAAAACCACAATTGTTACTAGCAAATGAAAATACTCCCAGGAGGGCTCAAGAATCCAATTAAGAACCTATGGAGCGGGGCGCCTGGGTGGCTCAGTCGTTAAGCATCTGCCTTCGGCTTGGGTCATGGTTCCTGGGATCCAGCCCCGCATCAGGCTCTCTGCTCGGCGGGAGGCCTGCTTCTCCCTCTCCCACCCCCCAGCTTGTGTTCCCTCTCTCGCTGTGTCTCTCTCTGTCAAATAAATAAATAAAAATTAAAAAAAAAAAGAACCTATGGAGCGAAATACGGAATAATCACACAGAAAGGATCACTGGAAGGATTAACTTAGCTGAAACAGAGAGGAACAAAAAAAAGTACAGAGACTCTTGGTATCAGCCATATGGCAGGTGCCATCACAGTGCCCGGTGGTCTGCTCCATGGAGGACCCCAGTGGCCCCTGCTGCTCAACAGCCCCCATGACAGACTTCCTGTGGTTTTCACAGCAGAACACCCTGTAGTCTTCACTGGCACAGACCCCAGCAGCCTGCTTCACAGACACCAGCAACTTTCATGACTGAGGTCACCAATGGCCATCACCACCATGGACTGCCCCCCCAGGGGATGAGATGTTGCTGCTCCTCATCCATAAGAAGATGCTACTGCATCACCCTGGGACCAGGCTTGTCAGCCTCCACCCCCAAGTGTGCCCCTGACCCCAGAGCTCCATCTGCTCCATCCACACCCATGTTTCAGAACCCAACGTCATGGCAGCACCATGTGTGCCTATGCTCCAGACCCTGGATCTGCAGCTGCTCAGCATGTACTCAAATCTTAGGCACTGGAGCCACCACCACTGCTGGCTATCCTGGACCCCAGAGCCACTGTCCTCAGCAAGCTCATGTGCTCTAATCCCCAGCTCCATGGCTGCCCCACATGTACGTACAACTCAGGCACAGAGTCACTACTACAACTGGAGAGCCAGTGCCCTGGACCCTGGAGCTGCCCCTGCTCCATGAGCACCTCTGCTCCAGATCTCAGATCTGTCACTGACCCATGGGCATTCGTGCATCAGCCATCAGTACTACCACTGCTGTGAGGGCCCCCATAAGCCAAAAGGGAAAGAGATCAGGAGGATTTCAGCAGCAGCAGCCTGGAGATGCCAAGAGCACCGATGACAGCTGCAGACACACACAGCCTTGGCATTTGAGGACCCACGCAGTCTTCACCAGTGCTGACCTAAGCTGACAGAGCTACATGGAGACTACGCCACTTGGCCTGCCCTGGATCTGGAACTGCCACAGCTCACCCACCCAATGTCCCTGCACACACCCATGGGTAAAGGTCTGCCCCAATGACAACCAGTCTACAAAGTCTAAAAGAGGTGACTGCTCTATCAAATACACAGACAAAATTCAAGGCTCTAAGAAACAACAAAAATCAAGGAAGCATGACACCACCCATGGAACACAATAAATATCCAACAATGGATCCCAAAGAAATGGAGATCTATGACTTGGCATACAAATAATTCAAAATAATTTTTAAAGATTTTATTTATTTATTTGAGAGAGAGAGAGTCTGCACATGTGCAGGGGTAAGGGGCAGAGGGAGAGGGAGAGGCAGACCCCCCACTGAGCAAGAAACCTGACACGGGGCTTGTTCCCAGGACCCTGAGATCATGACCCGAGCCAAAGGCAGATGCTTAACTGACTGAACTACCAAGGCGCCCCTCGAAATAATTTTTTTAAGAAAGCTCAACAACTACAAGAGAACACAGTTAGACAACAAAAACAGGAAAATAATATATGAACAAAATGAGAAGTTCAACAGAAAGACAAAATCATTAAAAAAAAATAGAAATTCTGGAGCTGAAGAATACAGTGAATGAAATGACAACACAGTAGAGTGTACCAACTGTCGATTTGATCAAGCAGAAGAAATAATCTGTCAATTCAAAGACAAGTCATTTGAAATTATCCAATCAGAGGAGGAAAATAAAAATAAAAAAGAGTGAAGAAAGCCTACATGAATTATGGAACAGAAAATGCTAAAGGGAGTTCTTCAAACTAAAATACAAGGATACTACATAAAAGATATGAAAGTGTAAAACTCACTGGTAAAGGTAAGTAGATAATTAAGAATAGTCTAATATGATAATGGTAGTATATAAATCACTGAAGTATGAAGGTTAAAAGACAAAAGTATTAAAAATAACTCAAGGTACAATAATCTGTTAATGGATACAGAATATAAAAAGATACAAATTATGACATCTAAAACATAAGATATGGGAAGAGGAGATAAAAGGGTAGTTTTTGTATGCAATTAAAGGTAAATTATCAGCTTAAAATAGACTGTTATAACTATAGAATGTTTTATATAAACCTCATGGTAACCAAAAAGCAAATACCTATAGTACATATGCAAAACATAAAGGAATCAAAGCATACTACTACTGAAAATCACCAAATCATAAAGGAAGACAGAAAGAGAAGAAGAAAGGAACAAGGGAACTACAAAACAACCATAAAACAATAAGATGGCATAGTAAGTACTAACTTTTAAATAATTACTTTAAAAGGAAATGGCTTAAAGTCTCCATACAAAAGGTATAGAGTGATTGAATGTGGGGGAAAAACGACCCAACCATATACAGCCTACAAGAGTTCACTTCAGCTTTAAGAATACACATAGGCTTAAAGTGAAGGGTTGGATAAATATATTCCACACAAATGGAAACCAAAAGTGGGCAGAAGAATACTTACATCTGACAAAACAGACTTTAAATAAAAAACTGTAACAAGAGACAAAGAAGGTCATTATATAATGCTAAAGAGGTCAATTCATCAAGATGAGATGACAATTGTAAATATTTATGCACTCAATATTGGAGCACCTGAATATATAAAACAAAGATTAACAGATATGAAGGGAGAAATGAACAATACAGTAATAGTAGGGAATTTTTACCGCACTTTCAACAATAGACAGATCATCCTGACAGAAAATCAAAAATGAAATGTTGGACTTGAACCACACCTTAGACCAGAACATTTCATCCAACAGCCGCAGAATACATATTCTTCTCAAGTGCACACAACACTCTCCAGGAGAGGTCATATGTTAGGTAACAAAACAAGCCTCAGCAAATTTAGAAGACTGAAATCATACCAGCTATTTTTTCTGAGGAAACTAGAAATCAATACTAGGAGGACAGCTAGAAAGTTCACCAATATGTGGAGGTTAAACAATACACTACTGAACAACTAATGGGTCAAAGAAGAAATCAAAATGGAAATAACAAATATCTCAAAACAAATAAAATTAGAAACACAGCATACCTAAACTTATGGGCCCTGCAAAAGAAGTTCTGAGAGGACAATTTATAATGATAAACCCTTACATTAAGAAAAACAGAAGGGCACCCGGGTGACGCAGTCAGTTAAGCGTCTAACTCTTGGTTTGGGCACAAGTTGTGATCTCAGGCTCATGAGATGGAGCCCCACATCAGGATCCAGGCTCAGTGAGGAGTCTGCTTGAGAATCTTCCTCTCCCTCTCCGGGTCCTCCCCCGTGCTTGCACTCTCTCTCTCTAAAATAAATATATACATCTTTTTTATAAAAGGAAAGAGAGAAAGAAAGAAAGAAAGATAATAAACAACCTAACTTTACACCTCAAGGAACTAGAAGAAGAAAAACAAACAAAACCCAAAGTTAACAAAAGGAAGGAAATAATAAAGATCAGAGCAGAAATAAATAAAACAGAGACCGGAAAGACGAATAAAACTAAGAGCTCGTTTTTTAAAAAGATAAATAAAATTGACAAACCTTTAGTCAGACTAAGGAAAAAAGAGAGAAGACTCAAAGAAAAGCAGAAGTGAAAGACAAGACACCACATCTGCTACCACAGAAATACAAAGGATCATAAGAGATGACCATGAGCAATTTTACACCACCAAATTGGAAAACCTAGAAGAACTGTATAAATTCTTAGAAACATACAAACCACCACCGTGCAAACCACTAAGTCATGAAAAAAATAGAAAATTTGAGCAGGCAAATGAGTAAGGAGATTGAACCAGTAATCAAAAGCCTCCGAACAAAGAAAAGCCCAGGACCAGACGGTTTTACTAGTGAATTCAACCAAACATTTAAAGAAAAATTAGTGCCAATCCTTCTCAAACTCCTTCCAAAAATTGAATAGGAGCGACTACTCCACAACTTGTTTTGCAAGGCCAGCATTACCCTGATAACCAAAACCAGATAAGGACATTACAAGAAAAGAAAAATTTAGGGTGATATCCCTGAGGAATATAGAAGCAAAAATCCCGAACAAAATACTAGCAAACTGAATTTAACAACAGATTAAGAGGATCACACACCATGGTCAAGTGAGATTTATTTCTGGGTAGTTCAAAATATGCAAATAAATAAATATGACACAACCTATTAATAGAGTGACAGATAAAAATCATCTGATCAGCTCTGTAGATGCAGAAAAAGCACTTGACAAAATTGAACATCCTTTCATGCTAAAAACTGGACATATTGGGTGCTGAAGGAATGTACATCATATAATAAAGGTCATATATGACAAACCCACACTTAACAGTGAGAGGTTGAAAGTTTCCCACTCAGATTAGGAGCAAGATAAGAATGCCCACTCTCACCACTCCTATTCAATGTCATACACAACTTCTCTTCCACTTAGAATTTAAAAACCAACATTCTCTGTTCAGCTATTAATGTTGGGATCCATATTTAGTTTTACAAGCTTTTCCCTGTTTTTGGTTTTGCTTTGGGTTTTTGGCTCAGGAATTTTGTTTGTTTGTCAATAAGAAATGTAAGAGTAGGTGTTAATAAATTCCAGTTCGATAATGTCAAGAATTTAAAAATTTAAGAATGGATTGGTTAAAAATGCTTCATATTTGAAAAAACTGGACTCGAATATCTTAAACTCTTTGTGCTTTCTCCCCCTTCCCCTTTTAGTACAAGGTGTTTGTGGGGTGAAGGGTGTGCCTGTCTCAAGCCCTTTCCACCACATTGGTAAGATTCTACTCCCTGCAAAGGAACACAGCAGGCTGGGCCTGTTTGGGCATATTTGCAGAGATTGGTGGGCCTTCCCAGAAAGTAACATCTCACCAGCCATGTTCTAGGGAGAGAGGCCTCTGCCCATTTCTCTGGTAGAAAACGTAACAGTTTCTCTCAGAAGGAAACAGTATCCCTATTGAGTAGGACTTCTGATGAATGGTAGTGTGTCTTCCTTTCTAACCCGGCAGCACCCCTCAACCCCAATTTCAAAAAAGTCATAGCCAGAGCAATTAGGCAAGAAAACGAAATAAAAGGCATTGAAATTGGAAAGGAACAGTAAAATTATCAGATGGAGGAAGACAAATACTGGAGGTTCTCACTTCTATGTGGAATCTATAAAAGCCAAAATCATAGACACAAGAGTAACATGATTGTTGTTAGGGGCTAGGGTGCAGGGAAGATGGGATTTGTACCTGGGTCACAGGGTTTAGCCACAGAATGGAATGAAGTACTGATAAATGGTACGACACAGATGAACCTCGAAAACATGATGCTAAGTGAAAGAAACCAACCCAAAATGCCACATATTTGATGATTCCATTTACAGGAAATGTCCAGAATAGGAAAATATAGAGACAGAAAGATCAGGGGTTGCTTAGGTCTGGGGGAGATGAGGGATGGGGGTTGTGATAGCTAAAGAGTATAGCGTTGCTTTTTGACGTGTTGAAAATGCTCTAAAATTGACCGTGGGGATGGTTACCTATATCAGCAAACACTAAAAACCACTGAACTATACACTTTAAATGGATACATCATATGGTATGTGAATTATATCTCAATAAAACTGTTAAAAATTATTGTTCCAGGAAATTAGACCACCCTGGATGAAATAGTACCAGGAAAGATGAGCCGAATGTCTCAAATTGCAACTGTATTCATTAATTTGTCAATGAATGGTTCCAAAATACACATATATAAAAAGCAAGAATGAAAGAAGCCAAAATGTTTCCTACAGGTGAAACTCGTCCATTTTCCACTTTCTCTACTTACAGTGCATGTTATTACAGAGATGATCAGGAGGAAGCCTACAAGCCTTTCTAAATTTGTGGAAGAGGACTTGGCAGCCCATGTTTGGGCTCCTGAAGGCCTCTGCCCTGAGGACTTTGGGCTTCAGTAAAGGAACCAGAGAAAGAGGCATTCATTAGCAGATAACAGAGCAAACTCCTACTGTTGAAGGTACAATGACAACCCCGCTCTGCACTCCTCCCAACTCCACCCTAGCACGCCAGACCCATTAAAAACCGTCCATCTGTAGACTGAGACTGAAATGCAAAGGGACGTTGTCTCCGATTCTTTTTGAATCAGCGGAAGCTAAGTTCCAGAAGACACACATCCCTGGGAGTTCTGGCTGTCATGGACACACGAGGCAAGCACACACACCCCCGCGTCTAAAGATAATAGTAAAAAATCATGAATGTACGGAGACCATTTGACCCTTCAGAACCTGGAACCACAGATTTCATCAGACGGAACCTCACCCTGCGTAAAATTGAGGCTCCCAAATCCGTCGACTGTCCCAGCCGCAAAACTGTAGCCCAGTGCTGGTTTACACGTTTTTGCCTAAAGGGGAGAAGAACACAAGGTAAACACAAACAAGAAACAGAAGTTAAACTTCAAGTAAGCCATGAGATCAGCCCAGAGCTTCACCCTTGTGGCATCATCAGCGTGATTCAGTGATACTTACCGTGTGTGTGGAGTTGAGTTGGATGGTGACATCCGTCATATTCACCCACTGATGAGCTGCAGCCAGTGGTCCAGTGACCTCCTGGGAGGCAGAGGCATATAGTTCCTAGAAAACCCACACATGCTTACTGTTAGAAGCAAAATCCAGCAACCGCACTACTGGGTATTTACCACAAAGATACAAATGTAGTGATCCGAAGGCGTACGTGCACCCCGATGTTTATAGCAGCAATGTCCACAATAGCCAAACTGTGGAAAGAGCCAAGATGTCCATCGACAGATGAATGGATAAAGAAGATGTGGTATAGATACACAATGGAATATCATGCAGCCATCAAAAGGAATGAGATCTTGCCATTTGCAACGACGTGGATGGAACCAGAGGGTGTTATGCTGAGTGAAATAAGTCAATCAGAGACAGACATGTATCCTATGTTCTCACTGACATGAGGAATTCTTAATCTCGGGAAACAACCTGAGGGTTGCTGGAGTGGTGGGGGGTGGGAGGGATGGGGTGGCTGGGTGATAGACATTGGGGAGGGTATGTGCTATGGTGAGCGCTGTGAATTGTGCAAGACTGTTGAATCACAGATCTGTACTTCTGAAACAAATAATGCAATATATGTTAAAAAAAAAAAAGAAGAAGAAGAAGAAGAAGAAGATAGCAGGAGGGGAAGAATGAAGTCAATAAGAAGTAAGAAGTAAATCGGAGGGGGAGACGAACCATGAGAGACGATGGACTCTGAGAAATAAACTGAGGGTTTAAGGGGTGGGGGGATGGGTTAGCCTGGTGACGGGTATTAGAGGGCACGTTCTGCGTGGAGCACTGGGTGTTATGCACAAACAATGAATCATGGAACACTACATCAAAAACTAATGATGTAATGTATGGTGATTAACATAACATAATAAAAGAAAAAAAAGAAGCAAAACAGCTAAAATAAATAGTACTGACTGCGCCCAGTAAGTACCAATTTGGAAAAGCATGTGTCCACCAAGTTCTGTTTTGCTGGCTGCTTAGAAAGGGCCACTACCCTCATGATTCTCTTTGCCAACTCCAGTGGCTTCCAGACGCGGGGAGGCCCTGAGACCTTGACCTGTGTCCATTCCCCCCACAAACAGGACATTCTAGTGATAGAGGCTGCGGCACAAAAAGCCTCCCTCCAGAAAATTTAAGATGAGGAGGAGGAGGGCCCAATGACTGTCTTTGCCAGAATGAAAGCATAACCTCGGGGGTTCTCCCTCAGAAGCTGCGAGTCCTCTGACGGGGCTGGTGCCAAAGGGTGGCTGGAAAGACTCCCCACTCCCCCACCATCTGCCTTTTGAGGGTTTTTTTTCCCCTGTAGGGTGAACTGATGCTTTTTCCATCTCATGGCAAATGTGAGTCAGCCTGTTTGGAAACATTGGCTTGTATTGATCTGTACCACATATAGGGGGCCAATCCTACCTCAGCACATGCCCGTTTGCCTGACACCTGATGGTCTCCCCCATCCCCGATTTGACAGCCACATGGGGGTTCTCGGGGTGAGCTCTCAGTAACACCAGCTGCCTCCCCGATAAGGAGCGAGTTGAAGAGAATCCAGAATGTGGACAAATCCCTCTGACTCCCAGACCCAGAACAGTAACAAAATTTCTGACACCAGACTTGTTAATCTAGAACCATCCACTGATAATACCACAGTAATTAAAAAGAAACTGCTGCAGGTAGGCTGGCTGGTGTCTAATGTTTTTAAAGGTGCTTTTGTTCTTCCTTAATTGCTCCTGAAACATTTCAGAACCCATGGAGCAAAGTATTTACTGAAACATATGCACGGACTCACACACATGCAACAAAGATATGAGTTATCCACACAAAGGAAGAGATCGAACTATGGAAGAGATCTCAGCTTGAGGTCACCCTTGGTCTTTTCAATCAGAAATCTGTCTCCAGAGGAGTGGACACAAAACACAGGGGCAAAATGGAAGATACAATTTCGCAGAGGGAGAAGCATAGAGCAACTCATAATCATCTCACTATAGACCCGATTTGCTCCTCCTCCAAAAATGTCTTAAGAAGAGAAGAAAAGAAAATATAAGATGGACAATTGGGACATATTGAAGACTAGGAACTAATTTGAATCCAAACCGCAGGCACGGGGAGCGGTGTTGCTCCGTCTGGCCTTGTCACTGAAGACGTTAAGAACAGTCAGGCATGGGGCGCCTGGGTGGCTCAGTCAGTTAAGCCGCTGCCTTCGGCTCAGGTCATGATCCCAGGGTCCTGGGATCGAGTCCAGCATCAGACTCCTTGCTCAGCGGGGAGCCTGCTTCTCCCCCTGCTTGTGCTCTCTGACAAATAAATAAATAAAAGCTTAAAAAGAAAAAAAAAGAACAGTCGGGCAACTGGGCAGCAAAGGCCGAGAGAATCTGGATCAGTCCGGTCATGCCTGACGCCATGTTAGCTGATATCCTTACACTATTTATCACCGCGGTCGGAAGCAAGCACTCAGGCTGAAACAAGCCGGCTTCCTTGGTTTTTCAAGGACTTCGTATAGCCATCAGGGAAATTCAAATCAAAACCACATTGAGATACCACCTTACGCCAGTTAGAATGGCAAAAATTGAGAAGGCAAGAAACAACAAATGTTGGAGAGATTGTGCAGAAAAGGGCACCCTCTTAACACTGTTGGTGGGAATGCAAGTTGGTACAGCCACTTTGGAAAACAGTGTGGAGGTGCCTCAAAATATTGAAAATAGAGCTACCCTATGACCCAGCAATTGCACTCCTGGGTATTTAGCCGAAAGACACAGATGTAGTGAAAAGAAGGGCCATATGCACCCCACTGTTCATAGCAGCAATGTCCGCAATAGCCAAACTGTGGAAAGAGCCGAGATGCCCTTCAACAGACGAGTGGATAAAGAAGATGTGGTCCATGTATACAATGGAATCTGACTCAGCCATCAGAAAGGATGAATACCCAACTTTTAGAGCAACATGGACGGGACTGGAGATTACGCTAAGTGAAATGAGTCAAGGAGAGAAAGTCAATTATCATATGGTTTCCCTTTTTTGTGGAACATAAGGAAGAGCATGGAGGACATTAGGAGAAGGAAGGGAAAAATGAAGGGGGGGGAATCGGAGGGGGAGACGAACCATGAGAGACGATGGACTCTGAGAAACAAACTGAGGGTTCTAGAGGGGAGGGGGGTGGGGGGATGGGTCAGCCTGGTGATGGGTATTAAAGAGGGCACGTTCTGCGTGGAGCACTGGGTGTTATGCACAAACAATGAATCATGGAACACTACATCAAAAACGAATAATGTATTGTATGATGACTAACAACCTAATAAAATTAAATTAAATTAAAAAAAAAAAGTCAGATGAGCAGCAAGAGAGAGGTTCCTGGGTCCTTTGGGAAGCAGCCTTCCTAGCAGGCCAGTGCTAGCAGACTCCAGGACCAGCGTGAGCCCTTGCTGCCTCTTACCATTACCGACTTTGTCATGAACACTGTCGGTGGATTTTAAAGAACAAGATTAAATGAAGTTGAAAGAAGTGGGGCCCGCGGCCGACCTTCGCTCTCTGGTATATGATCCGTCCTATAATCTGCGTGCTGTTGAGCATATCCTCTCCTGGTCCCATAGCAATGCACGTGCTAGACTGCAACACAGGGAGACAAGACGGACTCTCAGTGAAATAAGCAATGGTTTCAAGGAATGCAAAATTACAAGGGAAGCTAAGCAAACATAGTTTTAAACCCACATTCTAGCATTTCTTGTCAGTCTCTCAATCTACAGATTATGAGAAGCAAAATCATTCATGGCAGTGGAGCAGCGAAGATCTTCCGAAATCACGTGTCGCAGCGCCTTACTTTTAGGGATAAGGACACCGAGGCTCAGGTGGGTTGGACGATTTGTCAGAGCTTACAGGTAGCTAATACGTGAGCCAAGACCTAAAGCCAAGTTCCCCATTGGTTGCACGTTTTCCTACCTGTCTGTTCTTGCCTAAGGCTCATGATTGCCTTCAATTGAAACTCAGTTAAAATTATATTGGAACAACTAGATTATCCTCTGGGAAAGATCAGTACATAAATCTGGCTCTTTACTTCACTTCTTATACCAGGAAATTTTGAGATTGACCAGATACTTCTATATTATAATTGAAAATTAAAAAGTATTAAAAGAAAATATGGATGAATACTTTCTTAATACTTTTTGATTCATCCATACTGAGTTGGGTTTTCTCTTATTTGCAGTCAGAAGCATCCTATATGTGTATCAAAATCATTACATTGTACACCTTAAAATTATACAATGTTGTATGTCAATTACATCTCAATAGAGCTGGGAGGGAAAAAAGCAAAAAAAAAAAATCCTAATGGATATACAACGGAATATGGATGAAATAGGTAATTTACAAAAATGAAGTATACATGGCCATTCAACATTAAAATATATTCAGTCTCATGAATAACTAAATATAAATTTAAACTACAAAGAACTCTGCGTGTTGTGTTGGCAAAGACTGAAAGGTTAATAAACCGGGTGTCGGTGAGGGTTTGGGGAAACTGTCACTCATGCTCTGTTAGCGGGAACGGGACTGACAGACACCTCACGGTGGCTCTGCTTTCTCTTTGACAGCAAATTCACTTCTAAGAATTTGCCCTAGGGGCGCCCTGGTGGCTCATTCGGTTAAACGTCCGGCTCTTGGTTTCAGCTCAGGTCTTGACCTCAAGGTCGTGGGATCGAGCCCCACATCAGGCTCCGTGCTTAGCGGGGAGTCTGCTTGCGAGTCTCTCTCTCCCTCGGCCCCTTCCAAATAAATAAATAAATCTTAAAAAAAAAAAAAAAGAATTTGTCCTAAGGTGAAACTCATACACGCATGAAAATATGTACAACATAGTGACCAGAGCATGTTTATAGGATGGAAGGAAAACCAGAAGAGAGGGGATGTGAAGGAAGAGAGGGTGGAGGGAAAGAAAGCTCTCATCAGCAGGGGATTGGTGAACTCATTTAGGGTACTTAACATTGAAAACTATGGCATTATTTTAAGTGTTGTTTTCAAGTATATTCACTGGAAACAAGAAAGCAGGTTCCAGAACAGCATTACGGTAGGACCTCATTTAAATACAACTGTACATGCAGACCGGTGGCTGGACACAGACCATTAAATCTTTAACAGATTCATTGGGGGGTTAGGGGCTGCTCGTTTACCTGTCTTGTTTTCTGAACTTTTCAGTATTGTTTGAGTTTTTAACAAGCATATATCTTTTTTTACATCAAAGCTAGTTTCTAAAGTTCAAAAAAATCTGTTTGAAGAAGCAACACTAAAGCAAAAGACATGGCAACATTTGCCCATTTCCCTCTTTCGGTTTCTTCAGCGAATCACGATTTTCTTCAGAAAGGCATCTCCTCTTTAACAGTCTGTGATTCTATTCCCAGTTCCAGGTCAGTCTAAGATGATGACGGCCATTCCCTGGGCATTGCCGAAGACTGGAAAGAAACCCCGGCTTATGCCAATCAACACAAACCATTTCCCCAGGAACTGCTTTGGTCCAGGAATGGGGTCAGTCCATTGACCCATTTGGGCCAAAAAGAACTTTTATTCCATGGTTAGAAGAGAGGTTTTCTCTGTCTCCTACCATATATGGGGTGGGAGTGGGGGGGGAGAAGGAGACCCCTTCCTCAGTACTGACTGCCCTCTTGCAAACAGGAGGGAAGCCAATCTAACAGATGGAGCGGAACAGAGAGAAACAATTCTGTTGCGGGAGAGGATATGATTTTGTTGTAATTTTTTATGATTACAAAGTATGCTAATGGTAGAAAAAAATGCAAAAGTGTATAAATAGAATAAAAACAATAAATAAGATAAACAGAATAAATACCCCCTATAATAATGCCAAACAGAGAAAACCAGGGTTAACAATTCAGTGTGTTTCGCTTTGTCTTTTTACTATGACACATTTATTTTCAAAACTGCAATCATGAATATGCAATATTAAAGCCAATTTTCTTAATCAACATCATGTACTATATGAACTTTTTCCCACATTAAGTATTCCAACACAACACACTGAGCTGATGCACAATATTCTATTGCAAATAGGTCTCATAATTTATTTAAGCATTTCATCTCTGAATTTTGGAATTTAACAAGTAATCTTTAAATCTAATGATTAAAGATCAATTATTGGAAAAAAAGATCAATTATTGACTTAATTGTTGAATTGTTGATTAATTATTGAATTAATATTGTGTGGAAATTTTACAAATGAAGGGTAATAAAGGGAGACTTTCTATATAAAAAAATGGTAATATATAACAGAAAAATAGAATTGTTAAAACCATACTACTCATTGGGTGGCATTGACTAGAATAGGAATAGAAGTAATAGCCCAGAAACGATGTTTAATAAAAGTAGTATCACAGGTGACATGTTCTAAAGACAAAAAGAATAAGAGCCCAGGAACTAGCATCTGTTGCTCAAGTCAAAGCCGGAAAAAACCCTAAATGAACATGGCAGAGAAGCAGTTAAATAAACAACGGTAGAGCCGTTCTTGTTGTCTTTAAAACCTACCACACAGACCTATATATAGCCATAAAAAGATTTTTAAGACCTATGAGGTGGAAAACTCGAATCCCAGACCAATAAAAAAATCAATAAATAAGTTACGAAATTTTATTCATGAATACTTAAGTGAGTATGTAGAAAGAGGTGTGACAGTCATAACTCATGGTGAGGCAGGGAGGAAGGGAGTGAATCGAACTCACTTATTACGGCTGTCTGTGTTTTCCATGTTGCATGAGTTTTTACAGCAAGATTTTTTGCTTGTGATTTTATTTTTATTTCATTTTTTTAAAGATTGTATTTATCTATTTGAAAACAAGCAGGGGGAGTGGCAGAGGGAGAAGGAGAAGCAGGCTCCCCGCTGAGCAGGGAGCCTGATGCAGGACTCGATCCCAGGATGCCGGGATCATGACCTGAGCCGAAGGCAGTTGCTTAACTGACTGAGCCACTCAAGCGCCTATTTGTGATTTTAAAGAAAAGAAGAAAAAATGTTGATCTTATATTTTTTTAAAAAACCTATAGACTTTACCATCAGTGAGAAACATCGCAGGCAGGCAGTTTCTGGTACTAACTCGTGACGTGAGAAATGCCAAGGCGAAGTGTTTCAGACTGTCCAAATTTGGGGAAGGGTACTGCATCTCTGACATTGACTAACTTCACTTAGTGGTCAATCCAATGGGAAACTAGAATTTTACCCAATCCGAATTTAGTGGGTGCTTCTGAGAAGGGGAAAAGCTAGCAGTCCGTAGGCCTGTGTATACTTGAGGAAAACATAATTATAAGTTAATGGTGGATATTTAAACGTAAAGTGCACATGAGATGCAAAAACAAAGATTTCATGTCATGATTACCTACCCCACCGATAGGACAAGAGCTATTGGCATTATCACAAGACTCTCCTGTGTTGACACAGCGTGGGCCAAGAATATTGGGGGACACATCTCCCAGGTTTGATGAAGCAAAGGCTGCTACATACGGTCCCTGCCAAAAGAAACATCCAAGGGTCTTTTATTCTTTCTTATTTCCCATAATGACTTCCATTAAAAATGCAAACATTTAATCCACTCTGGTGAACAATTCAAAATCATTTGCAGACAATTAAAAGGAGGAGGTATAACATTCTGAGAAAATTTCTGAAAAAAAAATTCACATTGCAGTCCGCATACATACTACTACCCATGATATTCCAATGATCAATAACGCCGTCTCAAGTAGGAGAGTTTCAAACCTGTGCCACAAACAAACATTTTGACAAAAAAACACAGCATACAACAACAACAACAACAACAACAACAACACATCATAAGACGCTGACTCATCAAGCTATTCTCTGGTTTTGTATCTGGAGCTCAGAGATTTTCCTTGAAAAATAAATCTACTGGCTGAAAAAAAAAAAATATCATGAATCCAGATTTTCCTGTGGCAAAACTGAACCTAAAGATAGTGTCCACCATCTAGATCTGCCTCCGTGTAGCTTTTCTCTTATCCCTTCAACCTGAAGTAACAACACAGAACGTTTCTGAGTGGTGCAAGACTTTAACCTCAACCCAGCTAGCTGGTCTACCATTCCACCTTCAATGTCTTCAGTTTTCTTAGGGAAAGAGATAACGGAGATCATGTGTCTCTTTGCATACCAAAAAGATAACTTATCTCAAAGGGCCTAGCAGCCAGTGATCATAAATGGGAACTTCCTTTCTTTCCCTAAAACTCAATCTAAAATGAAAAAAAAAAGTGTTTTGTCAACAAGGAGCTAAAAGATCAGATCAAATGTTCACAGGACCAATAACTTTTATATCATCATACACCTTTTAGATATTTATTCTAGTCAAGGGCCTGGGGCTCTCATCCTCCTCTATTCTTCTGCATTTGGGACTTGAACACTAGGGTCACACAGAGCAGGGTCCCCCCTCACCACTTAGCTGTCTGTAGTCGCTAATTTACACAGAGTTTTCTGAAGTACACAGACTGAGGTCCAGCCCTCATCTCTAATTGCAGCCCTCCTTGCGTTTCAAAGTTAAAAAACAAGTCTGGTGCCCTAGGGCTGTCTCTGACTTTGGCCTTAGGGAAGGAAAGGAAGACAAACTCCTTGAAAGGAAATTCACCATTAACAGGGAAATCCGGACCAGTGAAAAAGATGCATCACCTTGTCCTCAGTTGGGTTAACACTTATTAACTTATTAACACCTCAGTCGGGTTAATACCTCTGAAAACAAAAGTAAACATCAACACAGCTTATCATATTTCCAAGTTGGTCAAAAACTAATCCATATTGCCAAAATCTTGAACTTGTCCTTCCTTATCCAACCAATTGTAACTGTATGAAGCCATCCATATAAGTAGTATTTGACACAGTTAGCCATTTTTTATTTTTCTTTCCCCATCAGGGAGGATGGAGAATTCTTTTTATCCGAGCATGTGAGTATGTGACATCCATGATGATGCTTGACGCTGAAGATTTGAGTCAGCTGTTCTTTTGTTGTTCAGTTGGCCACTGTATAGTACATAATTAGTTCTTGATTCAGTGTTCAATGATTCATTACTTGAATCAGCTCTTCGGAGCACTGCATGAATGGTGATACTCAGCACATTAAGATGATGCTTTCAATGACACAAATTCTCACCTGTCCAGGTAGGTAGCCTTTGTTCTTCTCTTGCTCAAAAAGGTAAGAGGCATAGCCCATGTTGTCGCTATTGACGAGATGATTGCTATTGTTCATGCTGACCGGATGGATGGCAAACCAGCTGTAGAAGAACAAGGAGCCCTTGCTTCGTGAAGAGAACCAGACAATGGGGCCAAAAACAATGACTGGTAGCTTAAGTTTTCCCCAGCAGGAAAGGAAATTCTTTTTAAACGAGAGGCATTCCACATTTAGATTCTTTCATTGTTGATGAGCTTAAATGATTAGTAATATACTCCAAAAGTCTAATCGTTTACTTAAATTAAAAATACAAAACTCTATTTTTATAACTATCTCATCATCATCATCATCAATATCAAAAGCTTTTAACAAGAGCCAAGATCGGTCAGTGACCAGACGATATAGCTAACGCACTGTATAGGCACAGACTCTGTCCTTTAAGACAGGTGCACATAATAATTATTAAAATCAATCCTATCTAATTCAGCAGATATTTACTGAGAGTCTGCTGTGTGCTGAGCACTGAATAAACTGCAGTTTACGCTCAGAATCTTGCAGAAGACAAAGATGCAAACAAACGGCTTTAATACAGTGTGGCAAATGTTGTAAAGAAATAGGCATCAAGTATTTGGGGATCACAGATGACTAGCAATTAATTCGTAAGGGCATTCCAGGGAAAAGGCACAAGAGAGTTAAGTGCAGAGAGGTGTGAAAAAGGCTATTATACATAATTTGATGTATCCTTGTGCATAGTAATACCTTGTTTAAGCGTAGAGCTACACAGTTTATGAACTAATTTCACATCTGTCACCTTACTTGAACTTCACAACAACCCTGATAGCAAGGCAGCTATTCCTTCCACTCCAAGGTGTCTCAGAGAGGCAAAATGGCAGCCCATGGGTCATCGAGGACCAAGACTAAAGTTTGGGTCCCTTGACACCTTGTCCAGTGGCTTTTGTAGGCTCCAACCTTCACACAGGTGAAAAAGAGACTTACAGAATGGAGGGCTATGAAGCAAACCCACTAGAATGAATGCTCAAGAAAAGAGAGACGCCAATCCCTAAAGTTTCAGGCCAATTTAAGATTTGTAAAATAAAATCCTTTGTGGATTTAGGTCCTTGCTGAAAGCTTTTTAAGCATTTCAGTTTACATTCCTACCTAAGTAATAGAGTGCACAAAACTGAGCATTTACTTAATGACTAGGGATGTTTCTAAACTTCAAGGCCGTCATTCAGGATTCAGTCCTCATTGGCCAACAGATGTATACGTAGGTCAGAGATCGCCAGCACAATGCTCACGGGAGCTGGGCGGGCAACAGAGGTGGGTTAAGCTGGTTGGCGGAATGGGGACTGGTGTGAACTGTGGATACCTGGAGCCACCTGCATGGTTTAAAGACCATAGCCTCCACTATGCTGCTTATGAGAGTCTAACCAGTCCTGCCAGATCTTCCATAAATCCATGCTTTTGTGAAATGTTTATCAATTTAAAAACTCTTAAAGACAAGAAAAGGAATGAGATCTTGTCTTTAAGAGTTTTTAAATTGATAAACATTTCACAAAAGCATGGATTTATGGAAGATCTGGGAGGGATGGGGTGGCTGGGTGATAGACATTGGGGAGGGTACGTGCCATGGTGAGCACTGTGAATTGTACAGGACTGATGAATCACAGATCTGTACTTCTGAAACAAATAAGGCAATATATGTTAAGAAAAATAAAAAGAAGAAGATAGCAGGAGAGGAAGAATGAAGGGGAGTAAGTCGGAGGGGGAGACGAACCATGAGAGATGATGGAGTCTGAAAAACACACTGAGGGTTCTAGAGGGGAAGGGGTGGGGGGATGGGTTAGCCTGGTGATGGGTATTGAGGAGGGCACGTTCTGCGTGGAGCACTGGGTGTTATGCACAAACAATGAATCATGGAACACTGCATCAAAAACTAATGATGTAATGTATGGTGATTAACATAACAATAAAAAATATTCAAAAAAAATAAAAAACAAAAACTCTTAAAGAAGTAAAGGGCATGAGAGGAAGGGGTGCGGGGCTGAACAAAATGGGTGAGGGAGAGTGGAAGATACAGGCTTCCAGTTATGGAATGAATGAGTCATGGGTATGAGAGGAACAGCATAGGGACTCTAGTCAATGGTATTGTAATAGTGTTGATGGTGACAGATGGTAGAAACACTCGTGGTGAGCACAGCGTAGCCTACAGAAATGTTGCATCACTTCATTGTACACTGAAAGTTAATGTAACATTGTGTGTGTCAACCATGCTCAAATAAAAAATTTAAATTGAAAAAAAAAGAAGTAAATAGCATGGGAAAAAAGGAGGGGAATTGTTACCAATTAAGAGCCTTCAAACAAATAGCCAACACATGTAGTTTGTGGACTGTTTGGATTCTGATTCCAATAAAAGGATTGTAAAAAGACTTCATTGGTACAAACAGGGAAAACTGAATATAGACTGGGTTTTAGATCATATTAAGAAATTATTTTCAATTTTGTTCGTTAAGATCAGGGATTGTAGTTATACTGTTTTTACGTTTTACCCAATAGAGATACACACTGAAATATTTGTGAGTGAAATGATTTGATATCTGGTATTTGCTTTTAAAAGTCTAGCAAAACAAACCAAAAGAAGAGGAGGGATGACACAGAGTGGCAGAAGATTGCTAATTACTGAAGCTGGATAAGAGTTGCACGGAAATTCATTAGACTAATCACTCTAAATTGGCATATATTTGAAAATTTCCATAATAGGTTTTTTGCATGTTGACACCCATTTCAAATTTTTCTTTTAAACAGTGTTAGGCCAAATCACCAGTCTATATGCAAAATTCAATCCCCAAGGTATGTATTTGCCACCACATAAAGGGACAGAAATTTAGGCTAAAGGTAATTCTAAGGTCATCCCCTAGAAGTTACTTGCAGTTTCTATATTTAAAAAATAAAAAAATCCTCACACTATTTTCTTTTTTGTGTCTGTGGTTTGTCTCTTTGTCCTAAAACTTGAATGCCAGAGAAAAATTCTAGTCAGTTAGCATTTTCCAGGTAGTTGGGAGCCCATGTTTTTGCAGTTTTACTCCATCGAGTTTGGAAGGGAAAGGGGGTGGCAGCCATGACAGTTCCCTGGCTCCTGGACCAAAATACTTGCATCTGATAGAATCGCACTGAGGTCAGCCAGACTCCCGCAGGACTGCAGTCTCTCGGGTGCAATCAAAGGAAACAATTTATCAACACTGACTATCATTTAGCACTGATTAGGTGAAGGATTTTATGCACAGGATCTCACTTCATTCTAACAAGAATGTTTTGAGTCAGATGCTATCATTGTCCTTATTTTACAGCTAAGGAAATGACCTCTCCGAGTGAGGCAGTAATCTGACCAAGGTCACATCATTGTAAGTCAAGAAGCAGGTCCATGAATATCCGGTCAGACTACAAAGCCCAAGTTCTTATCTGCTGTGGGATACTGGCTCTGTCCCTTCCTTTCATTCACTGGCTCATTCGGTGCACATTTCATTAACTTTGATTCTGTGCCAGGCACTTGAGACATGGAAATGAACAAGGCAACATCTTGCCCTTGAGGAATGCTTCATAGTGGAGGTGACGTCTGAGCTGGGTCTTAAAAGACGACTAGGAACTTGGCAAGGGGATCACTGGAGAAAACTCACTGGTAGCAAAGGCATGGAGATGGAAAGGGGTATAGTGGGTTTGGAGGATGGATGGTCAGTCTGGCCACAGCAGAATGGATAAGGGCAGGGAGACATGGCAATTGTTCTATTCATTCAGTCAGCATGAGTTTACTAGTAGCCAAGCATGCAGTTGGATTGTGCTAACCCCAAGGTTTAGACAGGAACCATCAAGGAACAACAATATCTGAAGAGAAAGAAAATGCTAAGAATTTTGGTCTGCTAATTAGACTTCAGACTTGAATTCTTACTGATTTCATGTATTTATTTTCATTTATTTTAGGCTTTAGAAAATTAATAGAATTTGTTTCTCTACAAAACTAAAAAAATCAGTATTCGAAAAAGTTATTTGAATTTCAGAATAAGAAGATGCTGTACATCTCCTCTTCTGCCCTTTGAAATATATGCTATTAAAATATCAGGCTTGTCACAACAACCAAAGTACTATGGCAATAGATGAATATTTATAAAGATATGCAGAAAACTGGTCATCTTGGTTTAAGAAAGCTGCACTCACAATTTATTTTATCTGGTCAAAAAAACAATCTTCAAAGCAGAGTTCAAAAGAGAGAAAGGAAGGTTGAGGTAGTTTCAAAAGAAGTTAGAATATGGACATAAAAGGATAAATATGCCCTTGTTTAATAAACACTTCTAAAGGGGCACCGGGTTGGCTGAGTAGGTTAAGCATCTGCCTTCAGCTCAGGTCATGATCCCAGGGTCCTGGGATGGAGCCCTGCGTCGGGCTCCCTGCTCAGTGGGGAGTCTGCTCCTCCCTCTGCCTCTGTCCTTCCCCCCTGCTTGTGCTCTCTCTCTCACTCACTCACTAACTCTCTCAAATAAATAAATAAAATCTTTAATAAAAAAAAAATAGGGGTGCCTGGGTGGCCCAGTCGTTCAGTGTCTGCCTTCGGCTCAGGTCATGATCCCAGGGTCCTGGGATCGAGCCCCGCATCGGGCTCCCTGCTCCGCGGGAAGCCTGCTTCTCCCTCTCCCACTCCCCCTGCTTGTGTTCCCTCTCTCGCTGTGTCTCTCCCTGTTAAATAAATAAATAAAACCTTTAAAAAATAAAATAAATAAAATAAACACTTCTAAATAATGATTACATCACAGCTAAAGCAGGGCTTCTACAGGGGTCAGCAGGATACAATCAAGGTACCAAGGAAGGTCCAGAGATTTGAGATTTTATCCCAGTCTACAGCAAAGTTCGTGAAAATTTCTGGGTCTCTGTTTCCTAAGACTGAACAATAATAAATTTTGACTATGTTCTGTGAATCAATACACAGCAAATTAACATAGAATCGTCTAATTATTCTCTTCTGTGTAACTGAGGCATTTTCTAGGGCCTCTTTTAATTCAGACACTCTGCACTTCCCACTCCGAAGCAGAAAAGAAAAGCCAAATGCAAAACTGA